ACTCAGTTTCAAATTCATCTCAGTTGTATGGCACCCTTCCACAGTATATCAAGCTTTCCTTTCCCTCTCACTTTCTTTTTTTAAAATTTATTTATTTATTTATTTGTGTGTGTGTGTGTGTGTGTGTGTATGTGTGGCCAGCTCAGCCCACCAGGGGGCGGGGCTGGCTGGCATGTGGTGCTGGGGGATTGAACTGCGGTCCCTGTGCTTTGCTAAGCTTGTTCTAAGTAGGTGCGTTAGACCACTGAGCCATCTCCCCAGCCCTATTTTCTGATTATAAAGTCAAAATTATGAAGCAAGATATATTTAAAGAGGTCTAGTAGTCATGCCTATGTCCTGTGCTTTTTTTTTTTTTTTGTTTCCCTCTGCCAGATACTTATTATTTTAATATATGTATTAGGTACAAGGTCTCACTACGCAGCTCAGACTTGTAATCATTCTCCTGTCTCAGCCCCCCCCAGCTCTGGGATTACAGGACTGTGTCACCACGCCTGGTCTCAGTGGCCAGCTCAGCACACCTGGGGTTCCTGGGCCGGTATGGCATGCTGTACCAGGGATCGAACTCAGGTCCTTGCACTTGCCAGGCAGGGAAGGTGCTGTTCTGAGCTATCTCCCTGTCTCAGATACTTATCCTTATTAGTTTTATGTCATTATCTCCTCTTTATACCTACACTGGATCTCACTGAGTTGTTAAGTGGATGAGGCTGGCTTCAAACTTGGGATCCTTCTGCCTCATCCCACACATAGCTGGTATCACAAGCATGTGTCACTATGCCTGCCTTCATCCTTTCTTCTTTTAAACAGAAGCAAATATATGCACATAGAATGTCTATTTTTCCCCCTGCAGTATTGGGGATCAAACCCAGAGTATCAGGCACACTAGACAAATACTGTCCCTGAGCTAGCACCTCAGCCCGAGGATGCACTTGAACACCGTCATAGACTGCATACGTTCCGCTGAGGGGAGCAGTTGTTACGCATGTTTATGTTTAACTTCCCAGCTGCACATGTCTAGGGCCTGTTAATGTTTTAACTGAAGCTGGAGGCCAGGTAGTCCCTTCTTCCTTCACTCACTTGCCTTCTTGTTCCGCACTGCACGTGTCTGTCTAGCCGCTCCTCATTCTACTTCCCACGAGAGTGTCACCTCCATGAGGCAGCAGCACTCTGCTGGTTTGTTCTGACTGTGATCCCAGCTCTAGGACAATGTCTAGCACTCAGCAATGTTTGTTGATGAATACAAGAAAGTGGCGTATTTGGAGACTCTTTAGGCTCATGAGCAGATGCATGGATCTTTGGATGTAGAAGAGCCATGCCTGTGTCCCGCATGCTGTCCCTAAGAGGCATCTGCAGAAGACCCCACATGTCCCCAGGCACTGACTCTGTATCTCCTTCTCCCTTGCCCCAGGTGTCAAATGTGGGGGGGTCCTTTCAGCACCTTCCGGGAACTTCTCCAGCCCCAACTTCCCAAGGCTGTACCCCTATGACACGGAGTGCAGCTGGCTGATTGTGGTGGCTGAGGGATCCTCTGTGCTGCTCACCTTCCACGCCTTTGAGCTGGAGTACCACGACACCTGCGGCTTTGACTTCCTGGAGATCTACAATGGCGCCTCAGGAGACAAGGGCAACCTCCTGGGCAGGTTCTGTGGTCAGGCGCCCCCACCACCCTTCACCTCGTCATGGCATGTCATGTCTGTCATCTTCCACTCCGACAAGCATGTGGCCAGCCATGGCTTTTCTGCGGGCTACCAGAAAGGTCAGGCATTCAGTGGGACAGGAGCTGTTCTGCAGCCTGTAGGGCGCTGCCCTCCTCGCATCCCCAAACTTGCTTGGGAGTCTGGTGGCCATGGGCTCCGCCTCTCTCTTCCTCCAACACCCCCAGAGGGGCCCTGTGCTCCCAAGCAAGGCCTCCTGTGCTCCCATGCCCTGGCTCGCCTGTTCCTGTCATGGCATCAGGCTGTAAGGACACCGCTGTAGCTGCTTCTGCTGTGGCCTTTTCGGGTCCCTCTCCTGCATGCTTAGGTCTGCCCCACCCAGGGCCCATGTGCAGCTGCTGACTCCTCCTTCCCTGCAGTTGAACTCCTGGGGGTCCCCAAGCAGACTTGTCCCCACCCACCTCCTGCTTCTCCCTCCTTTCCCAGTGGCTCCTCCTCCTGTCTTTGGCCTCTCTGTGCAGACAAGCCTTCCGCCCAGGCAGCTGCCAATCCCAGAGCTTCAGGTCCACAGGCTCCACAGGGCTCCCAGGAACTCCTGCACAGGGCACCCAGCCCCCTGCCAAATTAACCAGTTTGGAGTCCTTACAGTTTTAGTGTGGTAGCCCAGCAAAGTCACAATGCCATAGGCCACGGGCCCCAACATTTCATGCCCAGGAATACCCTTCTGTCCCTATGCTGATTCTCAATAGATGAAAGGGAAAGAGGCCGTGTTTCAGTGGTGTGCATTTATCAGTTCATACACTTCACGCTGATTTGTGGTAAGCCAGTCATTGGGAACACACTGACCCCAGGGAACTAAATTTACATTTAAGTCATATGACCTGTAGGTGCCATTTCTCCCCCTTTTCTGTGGCACTGAGGATTGAACTCATGTGTGCCCTGCTACTGAGGTTTGTTCCCAGCCCCTTTTACTTCCTTTATGGGGGGCAAAGTCTTGCTGGGTGCCCAGGAGGCACTTGGCCTGGGGGATCTTCCTACCCCGGCTCTCAAAGTGCTGGAATTACAGGTGTGCCCCGCTGTGCCCCGCTGGGTACCGTCTTCTATTTAGAAGCTGGAAGTAGATGCAACATAAGAATGAAGTTTGTGCCAGGTGCCAGCAGATGCCCTGGCACCAAGGAGCCCAGAGCCCACTTAGGAGCCTCCACTCAACACTTAGGAGTCTAGTGTTGAGCGGGTCTCACCTGCCCTCTCACTACAGATTGTAAACGTGACAGACAGCAGTAGTACTTAGACTGGAAGGCAAGTGCTGGGCCGGGAATATGGCTCAGGAGTGCAGCGCCTGCCTGGTGAGCGGGAGGGCTTGAGTTGATTCCTGGTAGGCGGCCCCCCCCCCCTCCCCCGCCAAGTTCTTAGCAGCCCAGGGCAGTGCTCTGGACAGAGCTGTGCAGGGCCTGGGGTTCAGGAAGTACCTCCCTGTCACACTGCTGCCCTCTACTGGTGCCCTCTAGCTATGTCCTCTGCCCCGCTGGATTCCCCAGGGCTGTCCTCGCCCGGTGCTCGCAGTCAGAGCCAAGGGAGTGGGGCTGGGAGGCTGAGGTGGCTCAGAGAGCCGGTGTCACTTCTGTTGACAAAAGACGGCACAGAGGCTACTTGCTTCAGACCCCCAACCCTGGTTCAGTTCCCTCAGCCTCCAGATGCCACCAGCCAGAGCAGAGTAGACAATCCTAGTACCAAGTGAGAGGGCTCTGGCCAGTCTTTCTTCCAGCCAGACATGCTCTCAGGGTCCTGTGTGTAGCCTGGAGTTTCCCTGCTGTCCTGCCATTCTCAGCATCCTTTGGTTGAAGCCTTGGACAAAGTCCCACAGTGCCCAGTCTGGGCTCAGCTCTCTCCCCCAGGGTGACACACCCTGCCTGCGCCCCAGGCCATTCATAGGGCTCCAGCACATGGCTCCCCACCCCTGTCCCCTCCAGCCTCACAGTCTTTCCAGATCTTTCAGGTAAACTCCCTTCACCCATGTCTTTGTCTCAGGGTCTGCCTGGGCAACCCCAACACAGACAGGCACATTACTTAACTTTCGGTGCCTCAATTTTCTCACTGTAAAGTGGGGAGACTGGTGCAGCCTCCTGGCCGGGTTGGTGTGCAGTGTGCAAAGACGGCCCAGCATGGCTGCCTGCGATGCACAAGGGGTTCGAGGGGTGGCGGTAAGGATCTCAATGGTCCCTGTGGAGCAGCATTTGGGGTGTGTGTTGTGGGATGAGGGGTTGGAGCCTCAGAGAGAGAAAGTTCAGCTTAATAGGGCTCCCTTGCAGATGTGTGTGGTGGTGTCCTGACTGGCCTTTCCGGGGTCCTCGCCAGCCCTGAGTACCCCAACAACTACCCCAACAATGTGGAGTGCCGCTGGGTGATCCGTGCCTCAGGGGCAGCCACTGTGAAGCTGGTGTTCGTGGACTTCCAGGTGGAGGCCAGTGAGCAGTGCACCTATGACTACGTGGCTGTGCTTGGGGGGCCCGGGCCAGCCCACGGGCAGCACTACTGTGGCGCCACCAGGCCCCCAACCCTCGTGTCGCTGGGCCGTGAGCTACAGGTGATCTTTAAGTCGGACTTCAACATTGGAGGCCGGGGCTTCAAGGCCCACTACTTCTCAGGTAGGTGGGGCTCACCCCAGACCCTAGGCCTCCCTGTTAAGCTTCTAGGACCACAGTCTTGTCCCCTCAGGGCCTGGAGCTGATTAACGTCTTCTGAGGTGCTCCAGCACACTCTCCCCGTTCCCAGGCCAAAGTCTTCCTGATTCACTGAGACAGAGTCGGGTCATTTCTCAGCTCCTTAGAGAAGTGTTCACGCTGTGCTCTCACACTTACCATGCCTCTGGTCTGTACGTCCATCTCCCCTGCACGACTGACTTCTCCTTCTCTAGCACATAGGAAGTGGAAGAGATGCATGGAATTGTAGAGCTTCCTAGCCCAGTGGGGAGGTGGACAAGGTGAGGACGACCCACGGCAGCTTGTGTAATAGCAAGGATCATAGGAGACTTCTTGGAGGGGGAGAGGCTAGGGCAGATCCACGAGGGAGCTAGCAGGAGGAAGAGGGGGCATTCCTAGCAGGGGAGGGTGTGGGGGGCAGAGCCTGTGCTGTGCTCCTAGCACTAGGAGATGGTGGCAAGGATAGTATATAAACGGCTGTATTGGCCAGATCTGTTTCTCTGACAAAATACCTCAGAGAAACAACTTATGTAAGGTGAAAAGGGTTCTTTTGGCTCACAGTTCAGAGGTTCAGTCTATGGTGGGTTGTCCACTGCCGTTAGCCTCTTGTGAGGTAGACATCACGGTGGAGCTTGTGGTAGGGCAAAGCTGCTCACCTCACGGCAGCTAGGAAGCAAAAGAGAATCAGGAGGGGACGGGGTCCCAATATCCCCTTCAAGGACCTGATAACCCAACTTCTTCCCACTGGGCTCCACCTTGTAAAGATTCCTCTACCTCCCTATCTGGTAGAGACCTAGCCTTTAACAGAGGCCTTTTGGGGGACACTTGCCCAAGCTCAGCTGGACTCTCACCAGCCAGGGGTGACTTAGGTGTTCCTGCTGTGGTATTGGGTGTTATCACAGAGCTCTTCAGGGGCCCAGTGCTCTCACAGGGGACTGCAGTCAGAACGGAGTCCCAGCTTTTGGCTAGTTTCAATGTGAAGTGAGTTTTGGCACCAACTCTGGTCTGTGGGCGGTGGCAGGACCCTGCAGTGCCCACGGCCTGGGCAGTCTATGCACAGGTACAATTCACCCTCCTCCTATCTCCTCCCCCACCCAGGAGAATGCCAGGAGGTGTACATGGCCGTGCGGGGCAACTTCTCCAGCCCACAGTACCCCGGCTCCTACCCCAACAACATCCGGTGCCACTGGACCATCCGCCTGCCTCCTGGCTACCGGGTCAAGGTGTTCTTCTTGGATCTGGACCTGGAGGAGCCCAACAGCCTGACAAGGACCTGTGATTTTGACTACCTGGCAGCTTTTGATGGGGCCAGTGAGGAGGCACCCCTGCTGGGCAAGTGGTGTGGCCGCCGCTCACCGCCACCTGTCACCTCAAGCCACAACCAGCTCCTGCTAGTCCTGCACACTGACCGTAGCACCACCGGCAGGGGCTTCTCAGTAGCCTACATTGGAGGTGAGCAGGGCCCACCTCCATCCCACTAACTTGTCCCCACCCCCAGGTGTCCTCTGGTCCCTTCTTCACTGACCTCCAGCTGCCACCTCCTGAGGCCTTTCTCACAGTGGTGGGAGCCTCTTTCTTTGACTCCCAGCTCCATGGTTCCCACTTCTCCCCACCTGGCCTCTCTCCCCTGGAGCCCTGCCCCCTCTCCTGTTGTGGCTGATCACCTGGGTAATACACAAGGCACGACAATATTTTTTTTTATAGAAATGGCTGGTAGGGCCTCAGAGAAGCCGAGCAGCCTTGCCTGTGTCGTTCTGGAATACCACTGGAACAAACAGCACTCATTTTTCCCACACAAGAAGTCTGGGGCCAGGCAGCCATTATGGTGGCTCCTGAGCACATGCTATCCCAAATGGTAGCTCTGGAATACTCAGCCTCACAGTTGCCACGTGGCTGCCATAACTCTGAGCATCATGTCCAAGGTCAAGGCTGGAAGAAGGTAGGGGAGGAGCCCCCTGCCCCCCACCCATGTCCTTTTATCAGGAAAGCAAAAGCATGTCCAGAAACTCTCGCCAGGTTTTTGTGTCTCTTGGCTCTGAACTGAGGTGGTGGAGCCTGGCTGCAGAGGAGACTGAGGCAGCTGGGATAGGGCTTTTCTGCTCTTAGTAGTGTCCGTCAGGAACAGTGCCACCTCTCTCCTCTCCTCCCACCACTCTTCCCTGGGCCGTGGACCCCAGATGCCCCTGCCTGGACCTGTTGCTCTCTTGGCTGGGTGGTCAGAGGCCCTCACTGTGGAGATACGGAAACAGAGGCTCAAAGAGGGATGGCTCCAACTTCATCACAGTCACATGGGCAGCCAGGGGCACAGCTGGGACCCAGAGCTCACTCTGCTGCCTTCTGCGTGTCTGAGCAGGACATGAAGAGGGTGCCTAGGCTGAACTCAAGCAGATCAGGGCCACATCTAGAGGTGGCCCTTTACTGACCACACAAGCTGGCATTTTTTTAAAAAATATTTATTTATTTATTTGTGTGTGTGGCCAGCTCAGCCCACCAGGGGGCAGGGCTGGCTGGCATGTGGTGCTGGGGGATTGAACCGTGGTCCCTTGTGCTTTGCTAAGCTTGTTCTAAGTAGGTGCTTTGGACCACTGAGCCATCTCACCAGCCCGCATTTTTTGTTAAGAGTTGATAAGGTTGGGGGTGGTGGTGCCCACCTGTAATTCCAGTACTCTGGGAGGCTGACCCTGGAGACTGTGTCAACTTATTAAGACCCTGTCTCAAGAAAACAAACAAATGAGCTGGGATGTAGATCAGTCCCTGATTCAATCCCCTGGACCACAAAAGAGGGTGGGGTATGAATACCCTAGACAGACAGTCACAAACATTAATGAGGGAACCCAGGTCACAAGGCCTGGCCCTGAGCACCTCTGCCCTCACATTTCCCAGGCCTGTTTGAACCTGTTCTCTTTCTTTACCCAAAGAGACAGAGGAGTTGGGGGCCCTAGCAATGACAGAAAGAGCTGCAGTAGCTGCTGGCCAAGGAACAACCTCAAGCAGACCCTGCCCCCTGGGCTCTAGTAGGCTCTATCCCTATGGGAGGTGAGGACAGTAGCTCTGACGGCCCCACCCCTCCTCCAGCTCTACATGGACAGGAGCCTCAGAGAGCCAGGTGTGAGGGTGCCCCTGGGCTGTGCCACAGTGGGCCAGCATGTTCCTTTCTCTCTCCAGGGTTCAAACTTCTATCCGTAGAGTGAAGACAGGGACACGGGGTCCTTAGAGTCCTAGCCATGGCTAGTCTTCTTGACAGGTCTGACTCCTCTCAGCCTGGTGTCATTGAAGACCAGCCTGTCCCCATGCAGTGTGGCAGAGACCAAAGGCGGGCAGGCTCTGGTCCTGGCTTACCCCAGGGCTTTGTGCTGAAGCAGGCATGTAAAGCCATCCCTCCCCAGGGGCACACGGGCCTCTCCCTCCAGGCTAAGCTCCAGATGGGGCCCAGGCTGCAAGCAGCCTCCCCACACGGGGGGCAGCACAGCATCCGTCAGGGGTGACACACAGTTCAGCTCCACGCAGATCCTCTTGGGAGACGGCGGGCCCATAAATCCCTGGCTGCCCAGACACCAGAGCTGAAATATGTCTGAGGCATTTCCGGGAGAGAAGCTGAGAGATCCAGGCCTCCGCTTCCTCTCATCATCCACCCCTGCCTGTGTGCCCCTGTGTGCACACACCCGCACACACCCAAGTGTGCATGCGTGCACACACACACACACACACACACACACACTCACTCTCACACAGACCCAGACACACAGAGTCAGACTACCCTGGCTTGGCTGCCAAATAGCTGCAGCGACCACGACCTCAGGAGCCCCGGCCACGCAAAGGCTAAAGGCTCAGTGCAGACCCTGCAAAGAGCTTTACCTTTCAGAACTTCATTGCTAGAACTAAAACGGTGTTGGTGGCATCCTCCTCGCAGGGTCGCCACAGGGAGGGATGGTGGGTTCCCCTCCCTGCCCTCTTCAGATCTGCACCTTTCTGCCCCTCTCCATGCCATTCTTCTGGCTTCTGGCTTTTCTTAATTTTTCCTTCAGAACCCTCTACACTTAGGTGCACTTTGCATATGTATTGCCCCTCTGCCAACTAGAATGTGAGCTCTGCCAGGGCAGGGATTGGGGCTGGGCTTTTTTTTTTTTTTTTTTTAATTTCTGTGTGTCTTGTGCTTAGCATAGCAGCCCACACATAGTAGGCCATCAATATCTGTTTACTACATAACTGAATAAAGAATTGATTGAATGAATTGACAGGCACATGGCAAGATGATAGCAAATAGTAGCTTTATTATAGTTGAGTATTTTCATTCATTCACTCAATTCATTCATTTAACATTCATTGGGCTCAGCGGACATTGAGAGAATTGGGCATAGTGTCTGCCCACGAGAGCTCACAGTCCCATGGAGTTAATGGCTTCACATGTGTGAAATATCTTACACTGTGCCCTATAGGTCTCCATAAGAGCCTTCCCACCCTGGGCCTCAGTTTCCCCACATGCTGTAGAGGTGGGGGTGGCCCTGCCCCTACTGCCTCTAGCTCTTCCCTCTCATTCCCAGTGGTGCCCATGAACGTGAGCTGCTCCCGCACACACTTCCAGATCCTCATCTCTGCACAGGCACTGGCCCCGCTGGAGCGCACCAAGGTCTACCTGGGCAGCCGGAACTGCGCCGCCCAGGAAGTGGGCAGCAACTTCCGGATCCAGGCCCGCTTTGATACCTGCGGTACTGAGTCTCAGGTAGGGACCGGGGAGGGAGGGGAGGAGGCAGGTATGAGGTGGGGCCCTGAGGTCACTGTTCCTCGGCTTCCACCTGAGCTGGGGGCAGAGCTCACCTCTTCTTGGCTTCGCTGGACTCAACAGCTTTGTTCAATGTAGTTGCATTAAGAACTCAGGAGAGATGGAAGACAGGGTCCTGGCAGCCAGCCAGCTACAGCATGCAACCTCCTTGATGCACCTCTCAGGGGCGCTAGAGGTGAATACCACAAACTTCCTTGCTGTTCACCCTTTTCTCATAGAGTCCCTCCACAGCACCCAGTTCCTCACGCCTTTAATATGCAGAGAACCAGAGCCCTGTACAACTCTACCCACCCTGTCCAACCAGGTGCTCCAAATCCACCCTGGCTCCGCAAACAAAAGGGCCTTTCAGTAACAGGCCCAACCTCCTGCCCCGTGCTGCAAGCATTGTGTACAAGTTGTAGCACCACCCTTGGATTTCAAGAGCCATGAACTCAGGCTTGGACCCCTCAGAGTCCCTGGGCAGTGGCCCAAGCACCCTGCATGCTTGCTCTCTGACGAATAGGTTAGGAAGGCGGGGGCTGGACAGTGGGCTCTGCTGGAGAGATTCCTGGCCTCAGGAACCGGGCTTGCAGGCGCCTGGGGCTCTCCAGCACCCCCTCCCCGATGAGCCAGATGGCCTTGCTGGCCCTGAAGCTCAGCCCGTTGTCCCTGCTGTCCACACCCATCTTTGGACCCAGAGGAGATGGGACTGGGTAGGGGCTCTGTGCCAGCTGCCAAGACCCCCTGTAGTCACCCCTGCTCCATGCTGGAGTCCCTCAGGGTTTTCTCTGGGACAGAACCACATTCCACAGAGTCATGGGATAAGAAAGACAAAGAATCTCAGAAACAGGGAATCCTGGACTCCTTGAATTAAGGGCAGGAGCCATAGTCTCCGAGTTCTAGAGACACAGTTGGAGGCCACAACTGGCTACAGAGTTGTGCAGTCAGAGTCAGTGGCTTGAAATAAAAAGCCTGGCCACACCTCCATCTGAACCCTTCAGAGACTGGGCTTCCTCCCTTCAGCGCCACCCCAGAGGGCTTCCCTGCCTGCCTCCCTGAGGCTCTCTCTCACTCATCAGAGCCTCATACTTTCCCCTTTAGCGCTCTCGCTCTCTCTCTCTCTCTCTCTCTCTCTCTCTCTCTCTCTCTGTCTTTTTCTCTGCCCATACCAGGGATTGAACTGGGGACTTTTCACTTGCCAGTGTTTAAGTCACTGAGTTATCTCCCCAGCCTGATTTTAGTTCTCTTATGGGCCTCTTTCTGCTCTTTGTTCTGTCTTACTTTTCCCCATGTCCCCAATTCCAGGGCACAAGTCCTGTTCAGAGGGAGGAAAGGAGCTAGGCTGAGGTGCAGAGGCAGAAGGTTCCCCTGATGGGGTCAGAGCCTGAGACCCCAAAGTCACCAGGCCATGAGACTCCTGCTAGTGACTCCCTCCAACACTTCAAGGTGCCACCCAACCCTGGCTGGGTGATGGCAGCGCCTCCCTCATAGCTGCTCCCTCTGACTTGGACAGCTTGGACTTTAGCAGCTCCACCCTGGAGCCACGCCCACCAGATGGAGCGGGCTGGGTGGTCTGGAGGGTGGAAAGGCCACTGCAGATTTGGCATGGGTGGGAGTGGCCCCATGTGCCTGCTGCTCTGCCCACCACGATGCTGCCCTGCCCCGCTCAACGCACTCTGATCCCTGCTTCTTTTGCTCCTTTACACATTCGTCCCTCTCTGATGGCTCTCCCAACCCAAAGGTGATGTCCCTGGGTGATGAGTGCCTCAAAGGCAAGGACGCCACTGGCTAGGTCACTGGGAGAAAAGATCCCAGAAAGAAGGCCATAAGACACGAAGGAGAAGCTGCTGGGAGGCAGGGGACTTGTTTCTGGGCCTCCCTGTGGGCAAGTCACTGGGCCTCAGTAGTCACATTGCTAAATTGGTCAAGGATGGGACTGGGTAGGTGCTCTTTGGTCTGAGTGAAGCAAGATGAGAAGGAGCACAGTTGAGAGTTGGGCAGGTCTGGGGAGACCCCTGTTGGCTCTGTCACTCTGCTGTGCAATCTCAGACAACAGAATTCATCTTTGGGCCCCAGTTTCCTCATACATAAAATGTGCATGTTGTTAGTACTAATAAGAGCATTAGCCTGGCGTGGTGGTACACACCTGCTATCCCAGCATCCGGGAGGCAGAGGCAGGAGGACCACCACAAGTTTCAGGCCAGCCGGGGCTATATAAGTGAGTTCAAGGCCAGCCTGCACTATATGAGACATTAAAAAAAAAAATGTTATTATGGGAATTAAAAGAGGGGCCGGGGAGATAGCTCAGTAGAATAAGTGCTTGCCTGGCAAGGACAAGGGCCAGAGTTCAATCCCTGATTCCACAAAGAGTGAGAGTGAGCGAGCGAGCGAGTGAGCAAGCGAGCGAGCAAGAGAATGAATTAAAAGAAACAGTGCACTTAAAATACAGAACTTGGGGGCCGGGGAGATGGCTCAGTGGAATAAGTGCTTCCATGGCAAGCGCAAGGGCCTGAGTTCAATCCCCAGTTCCACAAATAAATAAAATAAAATACAGAACCTGAGGGGCCAGGGAGATGGCTCAGTAGAATAAGTCCTTGCCTGGCAAGTACAAGGGTCTGAGTTCAATCCCCGATTCCACCAAAAATAAATAAACAAATAAATAAAATACAGAACCTGGAACTTGGGAAATGACTCCCAGATGTTAGCTGTTATTGTTACCAACTTTTATTGACCCTGCCTCCTTGAAGACAAACACACAGTGGCTCTGACATTGCCCTCCAGACAGCCCATCTTCAGAGTGCTCCTTTGTAGTGAGGACACTGAGGTTTGGGGTGGGACTGGAGTCAGGAGCCAGCTAGTGCTGGAACTGAGGGCTACACAAATCTGGGGGCACAGGGGTAGCCCAAGACCCGGCAGATGTGAGCAGGTACCCTGTGACCCCGCAGAGAAGAAACAACACCTCGGTGATCGTCAGCGTACTGTACATCGACTTCTCGGCAGTTGGGCAGGAGGATGTCCATGAGTATGAGGTTCGCTGTGAGCCGCGGCGCAAGGAGGCTTCTGTCCATCTGCTGTCTGGCTCCGACTGGCTCGGTCCCTATGCTGCCACTGCTGAGCACCTGCAGGAGGCGCCGCCCAGGGATGAGGTGGAGGCACTGGAGGGCCCAGTGACCATGGTGGCCCAGGACACCAGTGACATCGTCTTCCTGGGTCTCTGCATCTTGGCTGGAGTCCTCATGCTCATTGCTATTGTGGTCCTGATGCTGCTGTGAATGAGCAGGGTAGGAAACTGGCATCTGGCTTCTCCAGGAGGTGATGTGGGCAGCACAGCAGGGGCAGGATGGTGCCTTGTGGGTGGCCCCAGACAACCAAGTCAAGTCCCTCCCTGAGCCTCCATTTCCTAGGTTCCCCAGCCCTGCTCTCTCCCAGGGCTGGTGTGAGGCTCAGAGGAAAATAAAAGGACAAAAGCTTTGTACATTGTACTGTGCTGTGATTGCCTTCATAAGTAGGAAGTATAGTATCCTGCCAGGGCCTCTACCTCTAACCAAAGTGATCTGAGGACCTCATTCAAAGCAGGCCTGCTCAACTTTAGGAACATGATTCCCTGTAAGAAAACAAAACAAAACTCTAGCAACAGGCCAAGGGAGCTGATGCCTGTAGGGTGCTGTCACTTTGGTCTCTGTCACATGGTGTCACTGTTGAAGATCAGTTCTGTGCAGCCTGGAGCAGGCCCCTCTGGGAGGTAGCAAGGCCCTGCTTCGTCAGGTTCCCATAGCAATCATAGGTCAGCCCTGCACAGTGCTCAGTACTGAAGGTGCAGAAGCTTTCCCTGAAGTGTTTTTGTGATGTTTTGTAGGACTCAGTTGGTCTCTCAGTGTATTCTGGGGAGAAATGATGGCAGTAATGAAGAAAGGATAGACAAGAGGACAAGAGCTGGATCAGGTGGTGGCCCACTGCTTGATTGGCAAATGACCCCCAGAACAACAGTAGGGGTGTTTATTTATACCTTTGCAAAGTTAGTATCATGTGACATGAGGTTGCCTAGTGACAACCTAGTAACTGTTGCCTAGTTACAGTTGACATTGACCAGGCATGATGCTTTTCTCATGACTGAAGTAGTTTGACTGCTTTAGGCACTGAGGCCTAATCCTGCTCTCACACATTTCACCAATTTCCAGCTTCAGCGGCTCCTAACAATGTTCGACCAAAATGTGCATGATGTCCTTGTCCTACAATCAGGCTCAGATCACCAGCCCAGCCTCACCTTCCAGTTGGATTCTCCTCTCATCTCCAGCCTCTCTCAGAGCTATTCCAGTCCACCCAGCTATTTCTGAGTTCCCCTCACAGGGAAGAGGAGTGGGGCTTGTGAAAAGTTCTCTGGGATTGTTATTTATTTATTTATTTATTTATTTATTTATTGTATTTTAGTAAGGGTCCGCAGGGTTTCCCTACTTAGATTGGATTTGCAGTGATCTGCCTGTGTTCAGCCTCCCAAGAGCTGGGATTACAGGCACGTGCCACCACACCCAGTCTCAATCATCATCTCAGTGTGCCCCAGGAGTAGGGCTGGCACAGCATGCCAGGGATTGAATCCCTGCCACTGTGCCTGCCTAAGCAGGTGCTTTAATCTGCTGAGCTATTCGGCTGGCCCAGTTCTCTGGGATTATTACACAAGTTGATCCAACCTTCTCCAGAGCTCTTCTTGATACCAAGAAGAGCTATTTTGTCAATGAAAAACAAACCAAAAACACATTAATAATATACCGCTTTCCCCTATTCACCTTTGTAAAGGTAAAGATCACTTAAGTTGCCTTTCAATAACAGAAATCTTCAGGTTGACCTGGGTGACCACAGGCATCAAGTTGAAAAAATAGTAAACCACTCACAATTCATTCAGCAGGGTGACGACATCCACAGGGCCCAGATTTTGTGTCTGTGGTAATGCTGGGCTCCAAGCACATAGTGGTATGTGAGTCAGGTGAGATCCCTGGCTTCAGGGTGTTTGTTCATAGTGTGGCCGAGCAGAAGTGGATTGTGGGCAGGTGAGTCGATAACTTGGAGAAGAAATGAGACAGAAAAGAGCCCACAAAGTGAGAATGAATTAAGTGAGGGAGAAAGAGTTGCCTGGACAGGAGAAATTGAACTGGTAAGTCCATCTCTTCCACTTACTACTCCCATGAACTTGGGCAAGTTGCTCTGATTCTGTGAGCCTCAACTTCTCCATCTGCAGAATGGCACCACAGTTCCTGTTTTGCAGTTAGAATGTAGCAGCATGATTGATGAGTTAGGAAGGCTGCTAGGGTAGGTGCTGGCAGGGAAGTCCGGACTCCACGCTGGTGTCTGAAGTACAGGCCCTTCCCTTCTCCTCTCCTGCCCACCTTGCTGCTGGTCTCTGATCCGGGTAGCTTCATCAGGCTGAGTGGACCTCTTCCAAACTCCATGGGCACAGCTGATCATAAGGGCCTCTGTGCCAAGGCCCGGAGCCTCAACTCGGTAGCCAGACTGCTGAGAGTCAAACCAAGCTCTGCTACTCACTGGCTGTGTGACACTGGGCAAGTCACCGCTCCTCTCTGAGCTCAGTCTCCTCACCTGAGGAGTAATGGTAAGAGCAGGGAGGGCTCCACCGGCTCACTGTGAGAATGGGGCGAGCGAGGGTGGGGCCATGTGAGAACACTGGGCAGGGGCAGTGGAGTGGTCACCACAGGATGATGCATCCCTCAGGATCTCTGACCTAGATACACAACTTCTAGGCCCAGCTGTGCCTCTGATTCCCTAACAGTGTGACACCAGGGAAGCCCATTCCTTCTCTGGCTTCAGTTTCCTTCTTTGCAAAATGTGACCAACACCACCCTCACCATCAGCACTGTCACTGTTGTAGCTACCACCATGTACACACCAAAAGGCAAGCCTTTCCCAAGAGCACCATGCTGAAGCCACCCAAAAAGGCAGGCGTCTAACACCTTTTCTTCGTGCAGCACTTCGTGCAGTGCCATTTTACAGATGAGGAATCTGAGGCTCGCCAAGGTCACTTGGCTATGAATTGTTGAAGCTAGGCTGAGACAGGAGTTCTTCCCTGAGCTAGGGGACTGCGCAGGGACTGGCCTATCTCGGCATCTATGCCAGAGCCTGCCATTCCAGCCCTCCGGGAGCCAGCACCATGATTGTCTGTGAGTCGTGGAAAATGACGGAGTGTCGGCACAGGGTCTGTTAGAATGGAAATGGCTGGAATGATAGCCATCAGCCAGCACAGCCTGGTCTAGAGGGCAGGCAGCTCACCTGCTCACCCACCAGTGCGCCCTTCTCAGGGAGGCTGAACACGCACGCACTCACGCATGCACACACAGACATGGCCCATCTGTGGCCATGGGGTGCGGCCAGCCTGTCCCTCTGTAGGGTTGATGTCACCCGTAGGGGCTCCCCAGCCAAACCCTCCTCTAGCCTGCAGATCAGGCAGAGCCATGCTTCTTTCTCCCTCTCCCCTATCCCTGTGACCTTGGGCAGGCTGCTTAACCTCTCTGAGCCTTGCTTTATGTGGAGACACCCTCCTCACAAGATCACTATGAGGAACGAGTGAGAGAAGAGGGAGAGCCTTCTCCACAGGCTCCACCCTGCCAAGCTGGCTTCCCTGAGGAGGCCTTAGACCTCAGAGTTAGGAGAGCCCTTCCATGTGACAGCAGAGAGGTGTGAAAAGGTGCACAAGGTCTGGGAGCTGGGAGAGGGCTGTGTGGGTGGAGCTGGAAAGCCAGGTGGGGTAGGGGTTAGGACACCAAGATGCCAACACTACCTTTCCCAGGACAATGGTGGAGCAGCCCCCTGTGTCCCTGGCAGCAGATGAGAGGCCCCACTGGGCAGGAGGAGCAAGGGGATGCTCTTCTGTCACTGATGTCTCCTCCCGGGGCACAACCCCCCATGGGCAAAGCTCTTCATCGGGTAAATCAGCTTGGCCCAGTGAGCTGGGCCCTGGGGTCCGTGCTGTCCCTGCCACCTCCTGACTGCATGACTGGTCTGTCTTGCTCAGTACTCACCAGGGCCGGCCCTGGGCTGGTGTGCTGGGCCCCAGGCATGAAGGAGGCACAGGTGGCATCGGGACATGGCATTGCAGCTTCTCTTCTCTCAGTTCTGCTGCCCACTGCCTGTGACCAGACAGGCAGATTCTGTGGCCTCTCGGAGCCTGTTTCCTCATGACAGTGGAACAATGGTGGGAACATGTATTGTAATTTACTGTGTGTGGCATTTTTCTGATTTATTTTGCATTTAGGGTCTCATCTAATTTTCTAAATAATTAGTATTCCTTCTAAGTCACAGCTGGTATGGGTGCAGCCCTAATACCTCTTCTTGGTGCCGTGCTCCGTGCACAGCACCAGCTTCCTGCATGCTGTACTCGCAGCTGCTTGGTGCAGACCAGGCTCCTGAGGCCCAGGGAAGTGTCGCAAACACTACCCCGTCACAGGCTGAGCACAAGGCTGTTCCAGAGAAGGCTCCCAGGAGCTAGGACTACCCAGGCCCACTCACTGTGCCCGAGCAGGGCCCCACAGCTCTGAACACGGCCCAAGGCTCCCTGGGACACCTGACCTTCCCTCCCAAGTCAACAGTCCAACACTTCTTCTCGGAAGTCAGCAGGTTCCCAAGCTCTGCCGGTTTCCTCCCAGTGCACCCAGTTCCCATGGGGAAGGTCACTCAGATTTCTTAGCACCACCTGGCTGCGCCTCTGAGAGCACACTGAAAGCCATCTCCTGGGACCTGCAGCAGAAATGGAGCTACCATGGCAGGTGGCCTGCTCACCGGCCACATGAGCAGTTGACCCACTGTAATCTTTGCAGCCACCCTGGTTCACAGAAGAGAAGGCGAGGCTCTGGCATCCTGGGCTGAAGGACTTCTGAGGACCATGCGGCTGGACTTGTGATGGAATAAGCAATGGGACAGGGACTTATGTCCTGTTCCTCTTCCCATGAAACCACATCCAGATGTCCCAACACCACCAACAACTGAAGGATGTGTCAGGGTACTTATTTGTGCCTTGGTTTCCAGGCCCTGAGCCTGCTGGGCATTGAGTAGACTTTGGTAAACCAAAGTGGTTTGGGGAGATCCCCCCACCCAGTAAACCAACTTTGACACAGAGCAGAGTCCTGAAGAGGGGCCCAAGGGCCACCTAGGTAGGAAGGTCCCCAGGAAGAGGTGAGGCCTGGGCCACGTCATGAAAGAAGACATCGATCAGGTGGAGCAAAGAGGGCAGCAAGGGAGGCATTTCAGCAAGGGTGTTGGAGGATGGAGG